AAAGAAAATTTATTTTTTCAGATTTTCTACCATCAGCATTACATATAAAAAAGACACGTGTAGATTCACTGGTGGTTTTGGATAGTAAACAAAATGGTTGTATTTGTGTTGTAGGCATGGCAACCCCTGGTTCCTATCAGCACCACTGTAAAGAAACCTGAGTCAGCAATTTTTTCTACAATGGATCATTTCACATCAAACCACTCTGAATGGCTTTGTTTACATCTCAAAAATTGAACAAAGATAATTCAGAATTGTTAATCTAGTTAATGCAAAATAAATATACTTAGGCCCAGTCCCATTTCACCCCTTGCCCCTACCACTTAGCCTTCCGTTTTGCGTGTTCACACCCAGGGGTATGGTGTCCCGATGTTAGTTGAGATGCAGGGGTAGGGCGAAGTGCTAGGGCTACATGGCCCTCCACACAGAGGTTTTCAGAGACTCACTCCAAACAGAGTGTTATGAGAAAAAAAGAAAAACCGACAAGATGGCTGTGCAAGTGACCAAAGAAACCAACAAATGTGAGAATATTCTCCGTTAAAACATTACGATAACCATCATATTATTTATTTCTTTAATGTTTTTTCAATGTATTATGGTCATTTTCATAACAAGCATTAAAATATTCACCAGTAGTTTGCTAATGTCTTGGTTGCGAGCTAACTAAACTTCCCGTTCCACCTTAAATAGTCCAGCAGTACTGATGCCTGAAGTGCTAGAGTGTAACTGCTGCCCCATTTAAGGTGGAACAGGGAAATTTTAAAAAAGAAGCTGGTGAATATCTGACTTCAGCTTCATATCACTGAAGAATCAGCGGTGGGCGATAATAAATAATTATCACATCCCCCTCTTTGAAGGCATATGATACCCTAAATGTAACTAAAGCCAAGCAGTGAGGTTGCTAATCTTTACCCTCCTCTGCTATCACTGCAGACTGGCAGGGTCGCCAACAGAGCAGCGCTAGTAGCCTGTTAATGAAGTAATGCTCTGTTTTATTTGAGGGTCCCATTTCATAGGGGAAGATTTCAACCACTATCCCTTGTGTCTCAGTTCTAAGCGGCAAGATGATGCTCAAAAACAAGGGGTAGGGGTAAAAATGAGAAACGGGATTGGGCCTTTGTATGAATCTTTCTGTGTTTATATGCATAGACAGTGGAATCTCTCATTGTAAGGAAACAAATACTTGTGACAAAAAAGTCAATCAATTTAACCTGTTCAGTCCTCAATGCTAATAACAAAACAGTGAAACCTTTTCAGTGATTCTACTGACTTTTGTACAGTAATGACTCACAACCTGTGTAAAACTCAAAAGGAAAATGTTTTAAATGAAAATGTTTTATTGTGCAGTTGGTGAGAAACACACTGGAATCGCTGTTTGGACGTCTCTTGCCTGTATTTGCATCTTGGCTGCTGGAACTGGGTTTCTAATATGGTGGCGCCGCAGAACTCGGGGTAAGCAAACAGAGTGGAATATGCAATGACTGGTCGATGTTTGGGGAGTGTCTTATTTCAGGAGGTACTTACTCCTGTTAATAACATACACTATTTCAGAATCCTTTGAATCCCTGCATGTTATAGATATTCCACACAACTCATCTTGGGCCTAGAAGGTCACATCATGGATTTTTGTGGAAGAAATTCAAGCAGCAACTTCGACTCAATTCATGCTAACATGCAAAACTTTGACAGTATCTTTCCTGCTTATTGTAGAAAAATGCTTCAAGGGTTGATTTTAGGCCACAATGCTATTAGAGTGTTTGTTAACATCAACAGAGCAATTAAAATCTAGCGATGACTTGTTAAACCATAATTCAAACATGCTTCAACATGTTTATTCATTATTTGTTGTAAATTCATGCAAAATTTTCATTTCAAAACTATTTTTCTAGTTCTGCATTTTTGAAGTGATGTAAATTATATCATATATATTAAGTTTAACTGCTTACAGAATGACTGAACTGAGCTGAAACATGAACTGCCTGTAATACAACACTAAGTAATCAGCTAGTTTCATGTTAATGCATCCCCACAGTGTGTCAGTTTATTGGAGGGCGTACATGAAATCTTTGTAAATCTAATATTTCAGGCAGTTTTCAACATTAGTTTTGAAAAAATGTAGCTTTCATATATTATATTTATTTCCTTCTAAACTAAGAACTAACAATCATTTGTTTTATCCTATAGATGCCGTCATCTAAACCTGTCACCTCTGAACACCGGGATAAAGGACTGTATCTACTATCAGTACCATGGAGCCAATGTACTGATATAACTAGCAGAGGCTGTTCAAATCTGAAAGGGTGTGAAGCTAAAATAAAAAAAAACAAAACAGAAAATACATAAAATGTATTATTCTACAAAAAATATCATGAATTAGCTTGACTTGAGCTACATTGTCGTAACAATTGAAGCTTTTGCTTGAGCGTAACTAGCTGATATTTCTATAGACTGACTTAGCCTGCATCAGTAAGACAAACAGGAGGTACATAGTAACACTTTTACGGCTGTACCTGCATTCATTTTCTGTAATATTTGCCATATTTCCTGTTGTGCATTATGACCTCTTAATTACTTAGGGGAAGTTTTGCTTTTTTACGTGTATTTAATTTAATAACCTTTTTCTTCCGTGTTTTTCTGTACGTCATCCAGATTTATGTAGTAAAAAGATCATGTATATCATGCAATCATGAGTAAAGATCAAATAATGGTGATCATCATTCTTATCTGAGGTTTGTCAACATCTAGAGGGTTAATCAATTACGATCTTGATTATTTTGGTAGTGTCTTTTTGCTTATACTGGGAAAAAAATGCTACATTTGTAGTGTTCATTTTAGGCTGTTATACCACTTGAGTGTTTGCTAATAACAACCAAACAATTAAAATCCTGCAATGTCCAATTAAACTGTAACTCAAATGCAGACGTGTTTCATACATTGTGAACTCATGAAATCCTGTAGAATTTCAAAGCTGTGCCCCAAATAGTTTTTAGTTCTGCATTTTTAAAGTCCTCAGCAAGTTGTAAATCACACTGTAAATACTGAGCTGTTTACAGAACGACTGAACTGACCAGAGATATTAACTGGGTATAAGAATAATATTTAAATCACTAGTTTCATGTGAATAAATGCCCACAGTGGGTTAATTTATTGGAGACTGTTACATTTCAGTCATTTTTTGTTTTTTAGCAAAATGCTAAGATGCTACAAGGTTTAATACTGTATTCGTACATTTCTATAGAATATATAAATAGAACATATAACCCTATATAAACCTATATAATAGAACATATAAACCTATAGAAATGTAAGAAATGCCTAAAATGTACCAAATCTCTATGAAACCTATAGAAATTAAATATACCTACATTTTCTATATGGGAACTGGTGTATTAACTGGGTCTGGTCTGGTTCAGTCAGGTTTGGCTCTGCTAAGCTGCTCTTGTGAAGAGCACACAGTTTCTCCAGCTCCAGTCCCAGAGTTTACCTGTTTTCTCTGCACCTGTGCCACATCATTAGCTAAAGAAAAAGACATTACAGAGTTTAATTAGATGTGTTACAGCAGGAAAACTCCACCCTGTGGAGCAGGTGGACTGCTGGACTGAGAACCGCTGCGTTAGCCGTTTAGCATCCTCTCAAGCTGTCGCTTTCCAGCGTGTAGCGGTTGTCGACTCGTGAACGCGTCACAGCAGACTCCGCGTTATTTTTATTCCCACCCGTATTCAGACAGAACCCACCTCCGGCTGCGATTCGTCAATATCAGCGCGCATCCTGAGCTACGATTGGTCAATGTTAGAGCGCGTCCTGAGCTGCGATTGGTCAATTTTAGTGCGCCTCCGGAGCTGGCACTGGCAGTAAATCTGATATGTGTATAGCACTTTGTGCCCCCTTACAAAAAAGGTCTAAGATAAAACAATAACTTTTCTTGCCAGGCTTGATTTTGCCTGATGATCTGTAACCCACTGCCTCACTAAATGTGTGTGTGTGGGTATATATATATATATATATATATATATATATATATATATATGTAGCAGCACTGATGTGTCTGATCCACTCGTACCAGCGCAACACACACTAACCCACCACCACCACGTCAGTGTTACTGCAGTGCTGAGAATCATCCACTACCCAGATAGTACCTGCTCTGTGAGGGTCCATGGGGGTCCTGACCATTGAAAAACAGTGTAAAAGGGGGCTAACAAAGTATGCAGAGAAACAGATGGACTACAGTCTGTAACTGTAGAACTACAAAGTGCTCCTATATAGTAAGTGGAGCTGATAAAATGGACAATGAGCGTAGAAACATGATAGGGTGTATCTAATAAAGTGCTCAGTGAGTGTATATGGTATGAACTACTGGCCAGTCCTACTGATCCTATTAGCAGTTCTTTAGCCAGTCCTTGCTAAATGTAGCCAATTCTAGACGATTTTAGTGGCCAAAACTAGAATCCAATTCCAGCCAGTCCTAGGGATCCTAGGATCAGCAGCTGATCCTACTGGACATTTATACTCAAACCAAGCCCACTCTAGCCAGTCCTGATAGCTGATCCTACTGGACATTTGTACTCAAACCAAGCCAACTCTAGCCAGTCCTGATAGCTAATCCAACTGGACATTTGTACTCAAACAAAGCCCACTCTAGCCAGTCCAACTAGTAGGACATTTATACTGGACATTTACACTCAAACAAAGTCCCACTCTGGCCAGCCCTGACAGCTGATCCTACTAAACATTTATACTCAGACAAAGCCCACTCTAGCCAGTCCTGACAGCTGATCACACTGGACATTTATACTAACTCTAGCCAGGCTTATTAGCTAATCCGAAAAGCAATTTCCAGCTAATCCTAGCCAGTTCTGCCAGATAGTCCTAGCCATATCTACCTAATTGCACTAGCCAATTGTAGCCAACTCAAGCCTATTCTAGCCAATCCTGTTAGCCAATCCCAGCGCAGGGGCGGGACCTGTCCGAATACGGGTGGGGAAAACAAATAAAAATCCTCCATCCTAGCGTCGCTTGCTGGGACCGTCCACCATCCCTTTAATTGCAGGAAACCCTCGACAGAAATAGACCACGGACGTTTATTTATTTCATTTCACTCATTCGCTCTGTTTTTTCAGTCATGGCCGACGTTCCGCCCTTAATAAACATCTCGGTGTCCTTAAAGCTGGAGCCCAACGACGGACCCGTGTTCTTCAAGGCGGACGGGTCGCGGTTCGGACAGACGAGGACGATAAAACTGCTGACAGGGTCGAAATACAAAATCGAGGTGGTGATGAAACCGGGCAAGGCGGAGGCCACGTAAGGACCGAGCTGGACTGCTGTCCATCCTGTTTAATGCCTGAATAACGCGCTCGCTTTTAGCTGTGGTAGAAACAGCATCCTCGCCCTGTGGCCTGCAGAGCGCTTTCATTTACATTCAGCACCGTGTATGAACAGAAACAGGGAGTGGTGATGGGCACCTGAGGTGTGGACAGCAGGGTATCAGGGCAGACATGCGATAACACGGTTTATCTCCTGTATCTGGTGAAGAAAATGCGTTAAAGGCGTTGCACGTCGAGTCTGTGTAACCAGTTCAACCACAAATAGGTAGATTTTGAGCATTTAGGGTGTATCCAGGGACAGATCCAGCACAGGGGCCTCCCTTTTACACCAGTTTAGCTGAGGTTAACTAGTGGATTCTGTCTAAAAGAGCAAACAGAAATGGGCCCTTTTATTATAAGCCTATTTACAGCATTATATACTTTAAAAATGGTGAAGAACATTCAGAGTCAATAACCTGCATGTCCCGTAATGCCTCACACACTCTTGTATTACCTGATGCCCCATTAGTACCTGAATCTACAGCTGTTTGTGAAAAAGAAAACAGATGGTGTTAAAATATAGGCGACTTTATCAACTGACCATTGATTATCTCGTTTAATCGGTCTTTTCAGCTCTATGGGAATCGGCGCAAACAGCTTTCCTCTGGAGGAGCAGTCCAAAGATGACGAATCGGTCGTGTACTATGGGTTTTACGACACTGAGGGGGTTCCACACACCAAAAGCGGTGACAGGCAGCCTGTGCAGGTCTCCATACAGGTGAGCCATCGTTTATAGGCTGCACTTCATACTGACTGTACACTGTTTTTGTTCATCAAGGTAACAACAATGTAAATGTCCCTTCAAAGGTACAACAATGGTTTTAAGGTCCAATTGTGTACCTTAAATAAGGTCTTCCAGGTGAAAAGTATATATTTTTACCTTTTCATAACCGAATGTTTAAAATCAGAACAATAAAATGAAAGCCTGGAGATGAGACGGGGTGTGTGGAGTCAATACAACTTAGAAAACATGATTTCAATGGATCATAGAACAGTTATGTTCCCTGACTAAAGGTCACTGGCGATGTACCCTTGAGGGTCCCACACCAGTGACAAGAGGGGCACTGCCCCAGTGACAGTTTCGAGCCTTTTTTCTGAGAGTGTATGGAACTAACTGCGATTCCAGACATTTTTAGGGGCAATTTGACGATATTTTATCATTATCGTGATAAACAATACGCTTCTTTGAGCATATAGTGGATGTTGTCAGTACAGCAGTGACCAGCTGCATGTTTCATTACAAAGAGAGACTAATCAGGTCTGTTTAACTGGATGTTGTGCAGCACAGTATGTGAAATGTTGCATAAAAATCATTGTACAGGGTTTTGATGGCAGGTTTTAAGATGTAGCAGTGCAAGTGCAGTCTATCAAAATATCATGATGTGTATCGTAAAAACGTCTTTTAAATGTTTTTGCCATAGGTGTCCAAATGAAGAAACGATCCTAGTGCACTGCATAGCATGCATGTCATAATGTAGAAGACCAGCGTGGGCCCAAACCCATTTTCTGCATCGCAAAATGCACCACAAATCAAACCAACCAGCAACAAAATGTAATTTATCTATGGTGACCAAAAGGCCAACCGCTCTAACAATCTTATATAAACATTATTTATCTCTTGTATTAAACATTTGTTTAAAGTACATTTTAAAATCCCAACCCTGCTGCTTTAAAATGATGTTTTTGAGCTTAACCGTTAGAGTAGTTACTGTTATTTTGCTGTACTATTAAAATTGATGTGATTACATATAAGTCACATAAATAATTACACATTGGTTCGATTTAGTTTCTGTAACAGCAAGTTTGAGTCTTCTCTGCTGACTTTTTCTTGATTATTTTGATACCAAACAACGACAAAAACATGGCTAAAATGTAAAGCATGGTTTTTCTGCAACTTGTTGTGAAATTTATATCGTAGCAGGGCGGGCGATATGGGAAAATTATAATATCATGATACTTCTGGATATTTTCATGATACAGAAAGCGTCACAATATTTAGTTTTCTGATATCTGATAAGTTGGAACAGGCAAAAAAGGACCAGCAGTGCCACATTTAAATACATTTAAGTGCCACCCATTTAAGATATTTGGGTACAAATGAACGCTGTGAGAGTGAAATGAACGCTGAGAATTTTCTGTGAGTTCATCACAGTTTGGTTCGCAGCTTTTAATGATTGTTACTACAGCAGATAAAGCCTCCCCTCAACCCGATTCGTTTTCTCAAGTACAGAAGCAAGAAAATTAGCAACTTGTGACTGCAATTACAGTGTTACAGTGTACAGTGTTAATGCATACCAACGTTATTCTGTTCTTTATTAGTGTCTCAAATTGACCCCTCATTCCCTAGTTTAGGAGGCCAAATATCACATCTACTATCCTTTACATTCGTGGATTTCTTTATCGCAGTAGGGGTAGGGATTCCCAATGTTTGTATGATTTATTTGCACAATGCATGCTGGGTATTGTAGTGAGAGGACATTGATGGACAGCAATGCAAAAAAGATACAAAAGATGAATTCTGTTATATTGATGATGTTAAGGGATACAGTGCTGTGCTACAAGATATTATATAGCAAGAGAAATAACATACTAAATGGTAGTTTTTGGGCCAGAAAGCCCCTTTAAAAACACCAAGGATTTAGCTGTACAGAAATGTATGATTTCTTGATGATTTCCAAAAATGCGGGTTTAAAAAGCTTAACCCTTAGGTTAATTAACGTCATCTTGCCATACTATTTAGTTATGTAATTACATAATAAATAATTACACTGATTTGCATTCTGTTTTGGAAGATTAGAGTCGGCACTTCCAGCATATTTCTGTTTGTTTCAATGACAAAAAACAGGAATCTTAGAAGCACCTACCTCACGAGAAACCACAGTGTGGCTTCATAACAACTCCTTGAAAGGCCTTGTTGTTATCGTTGAAAACTGTGCCTCATAAAATGCATCCAGATGAAAAATTGCCAGTTGAACATCCCTGGTTGCTGCTAATAGACCCTCTTTAACTGGTTTACACTGTGTGTTCTCTTTATAACTGGATATGTTCTGCCCTAAATAGAGAAGCCTGAGCAGGTCAGCAGAAAGCTTACAGACTAACAGGCCAATAATAAAAGACAGACATTGAGCTCAGGCCTTCAAAGAAGGAGTTACGTAATACTGTAACTTACCAGGTAAAGAATATGACACTTACATGCCTGTTACAGTGTTAAAATGCCTGTATTTAAACTAGAGCTGACATCAAAATCCAATACAGTGCAGAGCAGAGCTGCTCCGCTAGCAGTGCTAACATAACATAGTGAAGATATCAGGCTCACTAGCACAAAATCTCTAGCGAAGAAAAGCATTTGTACTTTAAATATTGCTGTGCAATGTTATGGCTTTGGCTTTCGGTGTAAACAAAATGAAAAAGATTAAAGGAAACGACTTTATTAGCATAAAAATCTGTATACACACTTAAAAAAGATGGTTCTTCAAGGGTTCTTTAGTAAAGGCAATGGTTCTATTTAGAACCATGAGTGAAAGTGATTGTATGAAGCACCAAAAAGGTTTCCTCTATTGTTACAAGCTTGACATCGTAACAATAGCAGAACCCTTTTTGGTGCTATATAGAATCATTTTCAAAAAGGTTCCATATAGAATCATATACAACTCATTCTCCATCAATCTGAAGAACCATCTCACCATGCAAAGATCCATTTAAGCATGAAATGGTTCCATATAGAACCCATGGTTCTAAATAGAACCATTGCCTTTGCTAAAGAACCATCTTTTTAAGCGCGTAGGCTATTAATAGGATCGTCTGATTAAAGCATTTTTTTCATGCAGTTTGATTGATCGATTACAGATTTAAGCATCCCAGCAGTCCAGATTATCTGCATTTCTATTTATTTCTATATATTTATCATGTTAGGATGTTGTTTGCATGTAACATATTGTCTGTTTACAGCAAAACAGGGCAGCAGAGAAAAGTAAAGAAGAGCCTTTAGCTCTCAAACGCAGCCCAGGTTAGTAACACAATGTTGTTGTCTTCTTGTCAGTTCAAGGACGCGGGAGTCTTTGAAACAGTCTGGCAGGTGAAGTACTACAACTACTACAAGCGTGAACACTGTCAGTACGGCAACAAATTCACCTGCATCGAGTACGAGGTGAAGCCCAACGAGACGCGCAGCCTGATGTGGATCAACAAGGAGGTCTTCCAGTAAGAGACAGCCATCCTAGCAATAACTGGCTGAAGCACAGCGCAGCAGCACGACACCTGTGTGGACAGTAACCATCACTGGGCAGTTTATGTACTGGACGGAGGAGTCTGTTTTTTAAAGGAAAATTCTAGCCAAAGATGCTAACACTGCTAACAGCGGGGGGAAAATGTGCGACCTGTTAGCATGATGTATTTGTACAATGCTAACTGACAAAGGCCAATTTCCATTCCTGTTAGCGTGTTAGCATTTCTGAATGAGGTATTCCTTTAACAGAAAGAGAAGAGGGCCTTCAGTCTACGGGATCAGCTCTGTACACCAATGAACGAAGGAACGTTGTTTTTCGTGTAATCGATTATGCATGCTGATTGTTTGACACATTATTCAATCAAGGACCACAATTTTAACCCCTTGAACCCTAAATTTATCATTCAGTTATACATTTTAAGAGGCTTTATTCAGTAACTACTATGAAACCAATATTTAAGATCACAGACAGAACAAATAAAGTCTCCATATTTGCTAATAATAGTCGTTTTATATATATTTTTAGCCAGTTTGAAATGTCAGCTGCTCCTTACATCGTGTGAAAATGTACCAGTGATTGCAAAGTCATTTAGGAGATACATACAGAAAGAAATGTAGTTATGAACTGAAGCGTGAGCCCGTATGGACTCTTAGGGTTTAAGGGGTTGAAAGAGTTCATAGTGTTACAATCGTTTTAACTGTGAGAGAGAGTGTTCGAAGAGATGCTCGCTCTACCAATGATGTTCTATTTGCACTGCAACTCTTCTGTGTGACTGGGCCCTTTCCTATCAGCATCGACACAACACATAACAAACCTCAGGTAACCCCAATACATACTGGATACCTGAACTGTATGATACATTTGTGTGCGTTACAGCAGAACTCCCTCATTGCCTGCTTGTCAGATGTATAGTGAATTGACCTCTCCATGCCCCGCCCACAAATGCATTGTGTTATGCCGACTGTTGCTAGGTTGGATGAGCCCTAAACAAAAAAGTTTGGGTCTACATTTCTTACCTAACTTTGACTTTCCAGTTTAAAATACTGCGGTACCAAGCTTGACTGTGTTGTTGTAGCTAATCGAAGCTTGACGGGTTGGAAAGCACAACAAATGCTAACGTTAGCTTGATGGCACCATGCTGACGTTAGCTTGATTACACTAGTCAAACTAAATTAATATAATTTCAAATAATACATTCTGCATTTTGACAAAAACTAAGTTCTCATTAGTTATTTTTCTCATGCTAACATTAGCCAGGTGGTAAATACATCATTGTTTCTTACCTGCTTAGCTTCAGTTAGCTATAACAACATAGTTCAGCTAAGTAGCGAAGCTAGTGCTGTGTAGTCAATTTGGACTAATATCACAGCCACCCAAAATTATACAGTACATTTTCTGTCCCTGTCTTGGTTACCAATACAATAAAACTTCCTTTCAGCATAATGCCTTACTGTAGGCATGCAGTAACTCCAGTATTTTAGCTGTACTATGAGAAGGGCAGTGCTCAATAATGCTTGCTCATAAAGGGTGCTGTCTGCATATACTTATACATTTGAACCAGTTTATTGATATGAAGTAATATAAAAAAGACCAATCAGTGGACGTTGTAATCTTCTGGGACCAGCACTGGTCATTATTTATTAGTGAATGGTGTGTGTATTTATTGTGTGAAAGAGTGTTTGACATGTTTCCAGATTATTTTTGTTTTTATAGATGTTAATCGCTTCTTCAGTGCTTTTTTAAGTTGCCTACCTCTTCATGCCACGAACAGTGATGAAGAATTGAAGGTCCACTGCACTTGTATTTGTGTTAATTAGCGATGAATTCATCTGATTTACTGGAATCACAGAGTACAAATGTGTTTAAATTTGTGTTTCATGGTTAAACTGTTATGTTCTTCCGTAGCGACCTTGGCATACGCTCTCTAAGTTCCCCCAAGTGAGATGAAGAAGGATCATTGACGGTGCTGCTAAATTATGGGACATTGTAGTTGAGAAAGAAGTCTGTGTGTAGAGAAACGTCTCTAAGTTTAAAAAAATCTAGATCAAATGGCAGCAAAGCGGTTGGAGTGGGCCTTTAATTCTGAGTTTACTGAAGCATCTCATGACTTATTGCTTGTATTCATGCTTTTATTATATTGGCTTGTGTGGTAATTGTGTATATTTCTCTATGAGTATCAGATTTTTTTTATTTATGAAATTTCTGTGTGATTCTGAGCCAAACTGTTGACTTCTTTTGTAAGATAAAAAGGCTGTAATGCTTAAAAGGTCTCTGCGTTGTCTCAGTACACAGCATATTTTCATAGTCATAACAAAACCTTTACCATTAGTAAATGGTAATTTTACTAGAGAAGGAAAAGATTTCTTAACTTTTAATGTACCTCAATATACATTTAGTACTAAACACATTTTTAGTAGCTTCAAGCCATTTTGGACCATTTGTATTTGCCCTTTACCCATGAAATGTTCACACAACGTAAAGGGCAGCTGCTGTTATGAAATCAGGTTTAAAAAATGAAGTTACAAGGTTTTGATAGGACAGTGATGATGCATCATTAGTAAAACAAAGCAGTGCAAGGGCAGCAGAACAAGCAAGAAAAAAATACATAGAAACAAATACATGTTACTGCAATTTGGAAATGAATAATGATAAAATGGATAGCGGGAAACTGTATACAGCAGAGGTCTTCAAATCTGTACCTTGAATCCGGTTTCCGGTCCTGTATTTGTAGTCACAGGTATTTCGAGGGGAATTCTACTGATTTTCCAAAATTTCTGCATAATTATTCATTAAAATGTAAGCAAGTCATTGAGTCATTGTTTGATGTGAAACGCTTATTGCTACAGAGACACAGAGTCAAAATTGTTCACAGTGGTGGTGATGAATGAGACGTCCAAAGCATCCTTCACAGAAAGTTATTACTGTGACTATTACTATAGTTATTACAAATTTTATCACTTTCCTGCATAATTCAAAAACTTTTATAGTTACTTTTTGCATTATGTTAATATGTTATAAAGAATGGACCAACAGAAATGGTCTAAAATTAATTGGAAAAATATCTTATTACATTAACTTCCATTATTAGTTAACCTTTGTGTGGTGTTCAGATCTGTGGGACCCATTTTCGATGTTTACCGAAAGAAAAAATAATGTGATTTATTATTATTTCAACCTCAGATTCCTTGGTCTTTGCTCATTTTCTGTGAAGAACATATCAAATAACACATTTTCAGTGCCTTCACTCTGTTCACCCCCCACCACATTTATATTACACATGTGGTGTTGGGTGAACCCGCAGAGAATAAAAGTTTGGAGGTGCTGTGTCCTTCACTCTGTTCTCCTCCTACATGGCCTGCTGTTAGTGTGTGTGTGTCTGTGTGTGTATGTTTATATATGTGTGTACGTGTGTGTGTGTGTGTGTGTAAGGGTGGACAACATGGACAGGCTGCTGACTGGCTACAGCTGCTAAAGGAGAACCCTACCCTGGCCACTTGTGATTTTTAAACACCTTGTATTTTTACATAAATTGTTATGGTTGTATTGATTTTAAAAAACAATAATGTGGTGCGTCCACCAGACCACTGAATAACAAACACATCAACACCACACAAGGGTTAAGAAGGTTTTTTCCTTCTCCTGAAAATTATTATATTTAAATGTTTTCATATTTAAACCCATCAAGCCTCATGAAGAACCATTTTAACACAGACACACCCCATTATTGTACTTCTGATCATCAACTGAATGTTGTTAGAGTTACTAGAGTCTGTTAAAAACAACCAGTGATGTTGGTTTTAACAGTAATCAGAACAGAACGTTATAAGATGTAGCTGATTGGATGTTAGCCAAAAATGCGATTATGTTATTTATATATATTAACTTTGATTTTCCTACTGTTTTTGGTAAATTGTTTATATTTTGTAAATGTTGACTGTGATATGATATTTTGACAATTTTGCTCGTCATCGCTTTGTTAAATAATGACTCTAGCCAGAGTCTGTGCACACACAACGTTAATGTAGCTATATTTTCTCTACCTGACTCAAACCCAACGGAAGCTCATTCCCACCAGGCAGAGGAGGAAAAAAAATTACTTTTTCCTCCTTTTTCTAGCAGAAACATGTCCAAATTTTGATGTAGAGTCTTAAAATAGTGACTTATTTTCTGAAGCATTTCATTTAGTATCTCAAAATACTTATTTTCTCTAAATTTTGACTTACTATCTCATAATTTTCAAAAGCATAACTTCATGATAAGTCATTATTTCGAGATGCTAAACAAAATTTTGAGAAGTCATCTCGTCAGTATTTTGAGAAAATGTCATTATGTCCACATCGTAAGTCATGATTTTAAGAAAATACACCATTATATCAACAGACTGAGTCAGAATTTTGAGAAAATGTCATTATTTCTACAAGTAAGTCAAGATTTTAAGAATATATGTCATTCTTTTGACATAGTAAGTCAAAATTCTGAGAAAATTTCATTATTTTTACACAGTAAGTCAACATTTCGAGAAAATAAATCATTATTTCTACATAGTAAGTCAAGATTTTTGGAAAATATGTTATTATTTCGACATAGTAAGTCAAACTTTCCTCTAATTAAGCCATTATTTAGAGATGTTAAACTTTTGGCATAGACACACACACACACACACACACACACGTTTGTCTTGCTATACATGTGAGGGCGTCTATAGGTTTCTACTGATTTTTGTGTTACTGTAGCCAAATAATACTACACCTAAACCTAAACCTAACCTTAACCTCAGTACCCAAAAGGCAATTTTTCTGTTCTGTTAGTTTTCAAACAAAAAAAGTAACTGTGGTGAAAACAACACATGCTCAAGTGAGGACCAGCAAAAATTTCATGTAGTCCTATCATAGTGAGGACATGGGGTCCTCACAAGTATAGCAATGCAAGAACACACACACGTACACTACTGTTGACTGTGTTGAGCAGGCGCACACACAGGGAGAAAAATCCCCGGATGTGCTGTACTAACGCCCCTCCCCCTGCCCCCCCCTCTCCCTCTCGCTCCTCCCTGCTCTGCCCACTCTGCCGCCTGTTCCCCCCTCGCTGCGCTGCGGATCTCCCGAGCCCTACCGCAGTGAATCCGTCATCCCTCGACTCAGATACCGAAATACCAGCCGACGGGTCGGAGAGACGGTACCAGAACCGGCGACCTTCCCCGGAAAAAGCCTCCCTTCTCTTCTCCATCGAGTGAAATCGTGTGCGAGGCGCGGACAGCCCGACCGACAGAATGGTGAGTCTAGCGTCAGTTAGCATCGGACGGACGGTGCGGCTAACTGTGCTTCAGCCGTGAACGTTAGCCTCTCGGCCACACACCCGCTCCGGGGCCTCGTCCGGGGCTTTTGGTTTCCTCGCTTTCAGCGCAGATCGCTTTGTATGTCGAGGAAGGAGAGTGTTTGCCGCCGTGTCGTGATCGCAGCTTGTGTTGACAAAAACAGAGCCGTGGCCCGCGGTTACCGTCGACTAGCCTGCCTGTGTGCGGTACTAACGGTCAGTCTGACATTTAAACGCGTCTACAACGACTCTGCTGAATGCCTGTGTGCTATTTTAACATCGGGCTGGTCAGAGTGTGCAGCGAATCTGTAGATAAAGGAGGAAAAGTCCAGAAACGCGGCTGCAGTCACTGGTAGGCTAGGTGGTTTATGCTACACTGACTTGCTGTTGCTGTTGTGTCGATGGACTGTCAAGTTAGCAGCACAGAGCCCGTTTGCGTGTAAAATGAACACAAATGTCAATACAGAAGAGCAGTACGCGTGTTTAAAATGTTTCGTGCACGAAAAAGGCGTTTAGGGACCGGGTTTACGTCTGCTAAAGGAAAACTGGCTGGCTACTGTTTGTGTATGTGTGTGTTTGGCTGGTAGGAAATGAGTTCAGATTGAAGTGAGCTAGGTTAGCTAGGTTAACACGTTGATTCAGATTGTGATTAGATGCCGTGCAGCCTTACAGCTGTTAAATTACCATGTAAGTAGTTCCTTCGACTTGCATTGTGTTGCTTGTCAAGGTATAGGAGTTTGTATCATGGTTCTGTTAAAATATTAAGAAAAACTCACGAATTCCAACCAAAGTTTGGTTCAAAACCAAATGCAATATTGAAAGTAGCACCTCTGTGCTTGTAGACACTGTCTGAACTCAGGTGAGGATGAACAGTGGCAGCTTTGACACCTCATTAATTCAGCTACTGTACATTATATTGAGTAAATTATACTAATCTAACCAAAGTTTGGTTTAAAAGCAAATGCAATACTGATAATAGCACCACTGTGTTTGTAGACACTGTCTGAACTCAGGTGAGGATGAACAGTGGCAGCTTTGACACTTCATTAATTCAGCTACTCTACATAATGTTGAGGAAATCATACTAATTCTAACCAAAGCTTGGTTCAAAACCAAATGCAATATTGAAAATAGCAGCCTAGTGCTTGTAGACACTGTCTGGACTCAAGTAAGGATAAACAGTGGCAGCTTCGACATCTCATTGATTCGGCTATCGTGCATAACATTAAGAAAATCATACAGATTCTAACCAAAGTTTGGTTCAAAACCAAATGCAGTATTGAAAATAGCACCCCTGCACTCATCAACACCATTTGGACATTTTCATTCTGCTATGGTGCGCAGTGTGGACTAGTTTTCACCAAAGTTTGATTCAGAAGCAAACGCTGCGTTAAGTACAGCACCACCTTGCTTGCAAACACCGTTTGGATTTGATTCAGCTACAGTGCATAATATCGAAGTTCAAAAGCAAATGCCATAGTAAAAACAGCAACCATGTGGAATTAGGAGAGGGTGAGCAGTGGTCGTTTTGACGTCTCCTTGATTCAGCTACAGTGTGTGAAATTGAGAAGGTCATACTAATTCTAACCAAAGTTTGGTTCAAAAGCAAGTGCTGTATCTTTGTGCTTGTAGACACCATTTGGAGATGGTCAGGATGGGCAGTGATCATTTGGACATCGTTTGGATTCTGCAGCAAGGCGTAGAATTGAATGTTACTCATTTTAAACAGTGTTTGGCTGTAAGCAAATACCATATTGAAAATAGCAGCTCTGTGCTTCTAAACAACATTTATAGTTGGGTAGGATGAGTCGTGATAATTTGGACGTGTCTGTGATTCTAATACAGTGCGAAGTGTTGAGTAAATTTCAGTCATTTCAAACAGCAAATGCCGTATTAAAATAGCAGCTCTGTGCTTATTTAAGGATGAGCCGTGGTATTTTGTATATCTCGATTGTGCTGCACCACATATTTTGGATTATTATTCCCCAAAGCTTGGTTTAAAAGCAAATTCCATACAAACAGTAGCAACTATTGCTATTGCCCGTAGTTAGGTATGATGAGCAGTGGCTCTTCAGACGTGTCCTTGATTCTAGCACAGTGTGTAATATTTAAAAAAAAATAAAAAATTCACCCATTTCTACCAAAGTCTTTAAAAGGAAATGTCATTAAAATAACTGCTCTGTGCTTTCAGATGCCATTTGGAGTTAGGCAAGGATGAGCGCTGGTGATTTGGACATGTCTGTGATCTGAGTGTGTTGCATAATATTGAGAAAATTTCACAAATTGTCACCAAAGAATGTTTTGAAAGCAAATGCCGTAGTGAAAATAGCAGCCCTTTACTTTTAGACAAGGCAAGGATGAGCAGGTGGATGAGACGAGCAGCGTTGCTTTAATGTGCCATTTATCGGCACGCACACTTTGTGTGCTCTTCTCAGAAGTGAAGCTCTGTCTATTTATGGTGCGTTTCATTGTGGCGTTCCAGAGGCCTTGAAATTGCTGCATCTGATGGATGGAGCGACCTCTATGCGTGGCCCACTGACCGAAACTTTTTGGATCAGAACGTTCTGGAAAAGCCTCGTCCGTATCCGACTGTGTGTGGCGGGTGTACTCGCCTGCGCCGAAATAGGCCACACAGGATTCTTCATGAACCCTCCGGCTTCGTAGCCCACTTTAAGAGCTGCTCACTTTTTCTCTGGGTCTAAGAATAGTCTCCATGGAGACCGCAGATCCAGGTTGATCTGATCACCTCCCGTTCTTGGGGGAAGGGAGGTGGGGGTCAGGCCTCGGGAAATCTCGGTAGGCTTTCAAACCGATCAGTATTGGTCTTCAGCAATGTGTAAATGGCCGTTTCTGCCTGTGCTGTGCTCTGCAGGGATGTGCTGATACATCGATTAATCGTTGAATCGCTGTTCCATTCATAATGATTCTCTATTAACACTTTGAAGCCTTGTATTATTATTTTATTTATTTGTCCGTGTATTTATACGAGTGATATAACCAACTTTTTTCTCTGCTACCAGTACTGTTAAGGCACCCCTTGTTTCATAGTAATGATGACCAAAAACATTGGTACTGTGAACAAAGGTTCATTAGAGGCTAACGACCCATAGTGGAGATGGTCATGCATCAAAATTCTTGTTTATTTTTATATTATATTGTTATGGATGATTTATATAATTGTCATGTTACAGTAATGACCATGACTAAGAAACAGTTCCTATATTGTCTGTTTAATAAAGGTAGTGTTGGCGCCAATACAGTCCAGTGTGTCTCATCAGTATTGCAGGATTCATACCAGTTTCTGTAGTCAACGTGCTTATTTTATGCTTATAGTGGGAAGTGCAGTAAATCATAATCATGAGGTTTCTTCTATAGCTGCTATATCTAATTTGAGGTTTGTTGCACATCCACTATGCTAAAGATGCAGCGCTTTGGTTTAATTCATTCAAAAGCGGCCACTAAGTACAAGTCATTCATTTGTCGGCTTAATGGAAAGTTAAAAAAGCAAAAAAACATATTTAATATAAATTACACAGAAGACTCAACAACTAAAGATAATATGAACATTTTCAGTATTTAGTGTACCCACACTTTGCCCTCATTACAGTCTTAATTTTCTTCAAGGCTTTCAAAGAAATCTGTAAAGACATTTTTCCACATCTCAAAAGTTCAGTCTCAGATGTTGGTTTCATTTTCTGCTTTTCACAGTAATCCCAGTTACATATTTAGATTCATTAGTCCATAAAACCTCACTCTCCATATCAGATCAGTGTTTTAGTGCAAATTTACTTTATCTAAGTAACTGATTCTTGACAGATTCTTGACCAGGTGGACGGATGCACAGAAACACATTTCCTTTTTTTCGGTCTATTAAAGATGAAAGCTTTAAGTACTGTTCATCTGATGGGACAGTTTTGGTGGTCTGCCAGGTCGGTCTTGCACAGATTTTTGTTTTTACCCTTATTTTCCTTTGTTGTTACCTTTCCCTATGCTGATGGATTATCTTATATCTGATCTCCTCAGAAATGTCTGATGTAAGATACATATGAACTGGCAGCTGAGGTGAGTTTTGGTAGTTTGTGTGGATGTTAGTGTCTGTTTGAAGGGGAACATGATGTCACAGTGACTCAGCTTTTCTTGGGAGGATGCAGCTGTAACAGGTTGGTTTTAAGATTGAAAGGACAGAAGAGATAAAGTGATAGCAGGTGCACGAAAGTAAAGAATAGACAAAATAAACATTAGTAGATTTAATGATATACTTAGTTGGTGGCTTTTTTGTCTAATTATCTGCTCGCATCAGACATCCAAGCATTAAACATCGTGATCCAATAGTGATGATCTGTCACACTGTGACTTATAATAAGGATTCAGCTGGTTGGCAAGACCTGGGACTAGTGCTGTCCCTGAAATAATAGTTTTTCTTCTCTTGATAAGAGGCGTTAGGCAGTGTTATGATGTATGTAGACAGTGTTATATATATATATATATATGTGTTAATTTACATGTCATTGATCTCACAAATAAATAATCTTGTATATTTTTGAATAGGACAGTGATGCTACATATATAGCTTTGAAAACTTCAGAGTTTCACTGAATAGATTTAGGGCTGTGAACACCAAGTATATCAGTCATCAAATAGGTTTGCAAGTTTTTAAAAAAAGGCCATGATAAAAATGGACTTAAGTGCACAAAAATGTATACTGTTTACTTGCATTGTAAGCTGATGTCAGCTTTAGGCTCCAGAACGTGGTTTTCTTTCTGTAGAAAACTAGGATGTCTCTTCCTTCTGTTGCCTGTTCTTTGTCTCGTTCCTTCACTCCGTGTTGAGATCTTATCCCCAGATGAGGTAATCCTAAACCCTCAATCCACTTTAACTTAATTTGCTGTCTGTGTAACCTTAAAGTCAAAATAGCACGAGGCAGTCGGACTGTGCTAATGTTAGCAAGGCTGTAGTATT